GTGTACAGTTAGTTTCTGATTGTACAAGCAAGGTGGCTATGTTCGTCTTACAAAAGTAAAGTAATTCATGAAACAAAAGTGAAGTTAACGTATATGAGCTTAGACAATAAACAACGTGTACAAACGTTAAAGTCATCCGTTGACTTAAATTCTTGCTGAAACGTCAAAAACAGTTACAAAATTTAACTTATTAAAACTAGCAGAATTCGTCTCACACAAATACACATTTTTCAGTGAGTACACGGATTACTTTACTTTTGTAAGACGAACATACTCACCTTGCTTGTACAATCACAAACTAACTGTACACATTTTGATCGAGGTTCCTTTTGGAAAAGCACGGCATGTCAGCTTTAAACTATGGCTGTACGATCTATTCCTTGACACCTGTTTGACATTGATCTAGCCTGTTTGACAGTTTCCGGAGCTATGCGCACTACTGCTCAATAGAATTCTACAGGATCTTCATTAGCTACCTCTCATTGATCATTTTCTGAAAATGAGACTCACGCTTTTTCGACGCATAATCACAGGACGTGCGTCCGCATATTTAACTGAACATGTCAAGCTTGCCCCGTTGAATACCAGATATAACACTCGATCTAACAGTCGTCGGCTCTATGTTGTTGATCATTTGAAAGGGACAGCAATTAGACAAACATTTTTTGCATGTGTGCCACTTGAATGGAACAACCTATCTACGGAAATCTCAGCATCTACTTCTACAACAATCAAAAACAGATTTAATACCTCGATTTTGAAAAATCCAAATAAAAACTATTATCTGAATCCGAATGTCCCGCGGCGTCTTAAAGCTTTCTTCACGCGATGTCGAGTAGGCTCCCTCCATTGCGCGAAATAATAAAGGAAAGAAATTTGCTAAGTAACGGCGAACTGGATGTGTGCGATTGTGGCCAAACTGAAAGTCTTCCTCATATAGTAGATTAATTATCTACAGAAGCCGTTAAACAATTATGAGTGAGACATCTCCGAACGCAGCCAATTCTAACAATAAAGATCTCGAAACGAACGATGAATCTGCTACCATGGACATCAACGATTGTAAAGGATTGTTGTCTTTATTAGACAAATTAGAAAACTTGGAAGTACCAACTAATGATGATCTAAAAGGACATGACCATGTATTGCAGTTAGTGTTGAATTATGCTAATACAAATTTTGAATCATCAAAGTATTCTAATGTAATAGATTACACGTTAGTTACATTACTCAATTACTCCAACAAGACAGTTCTTGTACCCTGTTTAATTGAAACTGATTATCCCAGAGCACTATTAAAGTGGCTAAGTTCCGTTTCAAAGTAAGTGAAATTAAATTACACACGTATTATTGTCAACGAAAATGTTGTAAGCTTATCTCCAAATCTATTTGTTTTTATTTGCAGCCAAGAATCACCAGAGAGTGTTCACCGTATAGTTGGTACGATTTATAATATTAGTCGTCATGATAATGGCATACAAGTTTTAAATTCTCTTGATACCGCAGATAGAATCAAAGAAGTTCAGACGCATAATGAAGATCCAGAAGTAAATATCGTTTGCTCTATGATTGTGGCTCTCCTGTCAACGTCTGAACAAATTAAAAATGATCGTAAACGAATGAACAATATACTTGATCAATTATTACAAATTGTTGTTGATACATCAAAAAGATCACCCCGTTATCAATGTGGAGGGTGGCACATCTCAGAACCATTGATCGTTTTAGTGAGATTAATTTGTTATGATCGTACACTTGATTACATCTTACAACATGCACAAGTTGAATTCGGGACATCTTCGACAGCTGAATTTTTGATCAAAATATTATCGAAATTCCACAAAGAAGTTAGCGCAGATGATCCTCTCAAGCTATCAACCTGTACAGCACTCTGCAATATTCTGTGGAGTATTTCACTTCGTCCACAGTATAAACAGGAATTACAAGAGAATGAAGAATTCAAGTTGTTGATTGAGAAAATAGCCAATGAGGAAGTTGTCACTAATTCTGCTCAGTACGTACCAAAATATATCGAAAATATTCAGAAAGCTGCTGATGGAATTCTGTGTAATATAAAGAACAATAACCAAGTGAATATTCCAACTGTGACGGTATATGAACGACGTAAATCTGTAGTTGAGGCATTAGTTCCACCTACGTTGACAGACAGCAAGCCATCAGTTATGATTAGTTATGCCCATAGTGATAACAACGTTTGTACGCAATTGTACAATGAATTAGTGAAAAGTAATCAACAATTTGATATTTGGATCGATTGGAAAAATACTAAGACAGGATATTTATGGGGTAAAATAGCTGATGGTATAACAGAATCAAGTGTAATCTTGTGTCTATTGTCGAACAAATATTATGAAAGTAAATCGTGTCAACAGGAATTTGTCTATGCTCATGATATTCTCAAGAAACCAGTGATACCTGTTTATATATTGGATGATAAACCACCTGGCTGGTTAGGTATGTCACCCGTTGGGCATTTTACTAAAGACCAGGCAAAATGTGACACTTTGAACTAGAAATAGGCTATTTTCATACAGGCGCAGCTTCTTCTTACTTTTGAATCTGGAAAATGATATTTTCCTGTACACGTATTTAGGTGCGAATCTCAAGAGGATTTGATATCTTGTAAGTCAAAGACGAAAAGAGCTTGGTGGCTGAAACTTTCGGTGTAGCACCTAAATATACGGAGGATAAGTGTCCGCAAGCTTCAGTCAACTACCCTTTCATCTAACTGAGTTATGAGTTTTCCTATTTTGTAAGTTTCCTACTAGAAAAAACAAAAAAGATTGCCGTAACTTTGTTGCTATAGAGAAGAGAAGGAATAAATGATGAAGAGAACCGGAAGACAAAATGAAAGAAAAGAGAAGAATGTACGAGAGAAACAAAGGAAAAAGAAAATTGAAAAAAAAGAAAAAAGACAAAGAAAATGTGTGCCACGAGACAATACATTTCCGCTGCACATTATGTACTCCCCTGCTCTTATTTTATTAGTATTGTTCCACCCTCTTGTTTCGCAGTCGCTCTCCGGTGCTTACAATTCTATTCGAACGCTCGCATTATGTAAAAAACCCGAGAGAATCATGGAAGAAAAAGGTATTGAGTCGTTTTGCCAGATCCAGACATTGATCCGTAGCGTACTCCTATTATACTAGCCAAGACCGCCAGATTGTCGGCAGAAAAAGATGAGAGGGCCTTTGTTAGAAAATCTTCCATATCGACATGGTAGGTGGCGTGAAACTGGAGCCATGCACGACTCCACTATATACAGGCTGGCGGAATAACTATACGGGCTAATTGGCATTCACTGACAATTGATGTGAATATACGAAAGTCTTCATAGGAGTGTTTTCGCCTGTGCTAAGAAGAGAAGATGAAGAGGGAGACGAATTAAGACGACAGACAAAAGATGCAGCAGTTGCGTCTATAGTCATGGTGTTGAAGAATCGTTCTCATTGGGGGATAGTACATCTTTTATGCTGTTCACATGCAAATTGAACTCATTCGGCACATTCGTTTCATTATCCATGTTGGCTAAATTACCGCTACTCGTCAAAGACTTTATCAACGAATTTCCAAATATAGACTTGATCTGGGAGATGTGATTTTCAGCTTTTTGTGGTTTTGCACTCATCTCGGTGATCTGATCCTCGAATTCTTTTACTTTTTCTCTAAAGCCAAAATTTGTTCCGTTTTCTTTCCATCCTCCGACACCTTCGATTTCATAAACTGCTCAAGAATCTCAGTTTGTTGCTTCATTGCTTGGATCTTACTGAATATTATTTTGAATTTTATTTCGAGTGTGCTTCTTTGCTGTGTGTAGTTTGTATGCCTTTGTCTTTGGGCAGGAAGCGAGGGAAATCCTCGTATGAGGGAGCTGGATTATCAATCTGTGAGCATTGTACGTCGGACACTGTCTATAGAGCAAAAGAGGTACATGGTATTAGCTCCTTGGTCAGTGCTGCTCGATATTCCTTGAGTTTTCGATAATTCGCATCGTTCGACTTGTGTGCTTCTTCAGAACGGACACCCTGTGGTTGTCCCGAACACGTTTCAGTATGTTCCTGTAGATCCGCACATTTGTATCCACAGACTTTACACGTCTACACATTTTGTTGCGGCCCTAAAATTTCTAATGGCCATGCATTGTGAGCAATAAGCACTCGCGTCTGAGCGCGATATTCAACTCATCATAGCATAATAAGTCTCGCGTTTCGACTATACCGGAAACGTGCTTGGACGCCCGGATTATCGCGGCAAAAAAAATGCAGTTTTCTGCAAGCATTATTTGAAACAATACGAAAATATTTTTAGCATCGAATCGTCGCTGCTTTTGTGCTGCGAAAATCATCGAAATAAAGTAGTTTGAATGCTTCTTTCGAAATACAAGATCAATATTTCTAAGAATACATTCATTGGTGCATGATTTTCCTTACCAGTTTCTCAACAAGAAAAAGTCATAGAATAAAAAGTGAACTCACGATTTTCTATTGTTTTAGCAATCCATACATGTATCATGAAATATGTTCGTTTTCGTAATACGAAACAGCTGGAACAAGAGAAATTAAAAGATTTGATTGAAATGATCAATGAAAACCTATCAGGAACAAGTTCTAAAACAAACGTAGATTTGCTTCCACCCGCTTCAGTGCCCCTTCATCATGACCTGTTACCGGTTGCACAAAAACCGAAAAAAGAAGAAAAAGAATTGAAACCGAACACATTACATGAAGAGACGAATTCACGGTATGTAGCTTCAGTTACGGAAAAGTCGAATTTGCATTAAAGGACGGGGCACGGTTTCTGCTAGAAAATGACCCAATATGATTTTGAGTGAAAATGATCGGAAATGCTTCCCTTTTCACTTCCCAACACTTCTCACTTTCAAAAATTCCTTCTGTTGTCTTTCAAACAAAAATTACTTTTCATTTTTCGCCACCAGTTCAACAAAAGCCATTTACTCTTTTTCGCAAATTTCTCGTCCAAGTTCAAAGTCCTCGAGCAAAGCTCGTACATAGTAACATAGAGAATGTTCTAGGCTTCACAATAAGCTATAAATAAGTCTTTCAAAAATATGCCCATATAGGTCAATAGTCGAAATACTTGGCCGATGTCAAAATTTCACCTATCTTAGTGCTTTAAACACACTTTTTAGTTCAGGCAAAGTATGATGTCATAATCAAGCCATGTATATAGCTTATTGTGAAGCCTAGAAAATTTTCTATCTTTCTATATATAAAGCATTTCGGTTCTGAGTAAATGAGTTCAAGAAATATTCTTTTAAGGTGCAAAGATAGGTGAAAATTATGATATCGGCCTAGTATTTCGAGAATTTTCCTGCATGGGCATATTTTTGAAAACCTCGTTTATAGCTGGCTTATTTTAAAGCCCAGAATATTCTCTATGTTACTATGTACGAGCTTTGCTCAAGGACTTTGAAATTGGACGAGAAATTTTCGAAAAAGGGTAAAGGGTGGAGGAAAATGAAAAGTAATTTTTGTTTGAGAGACAACAGAAGGAATTTTTGAAAGTGAGAAGTGTTGGGAAGGGAAAGGGGAAGCATTTCCGATCATTTTCAGTCAAAATCATATTGGGTCATTTTCTAGCAGAAACCGTGCCCCGTCCTTTACCATTTTCTTCTGTGTCTATTTCGTTCCTAGGCCGAAAACTGATCTTTCTCGAAAACTAGTCGAGAAGTGGAATAAAAGTGATATTGAACAATGGTTTCAAGAGAATAAAATTTCAATGGACCTATGTAAGTTATATCAATTCGAAGATGGTACTCAACTACTGAGTTATGCCGCTAGCATTTCGAATGACGAAAAAATCGAATTACAATGTAAATTGTATTCTGATGAATTTGCTGAAGTGTACAAAGGTAAACGACTCTTACCACATAAATTTACAACGTTTGCCTATGCTTTGCGAAAACTAAGTTCCGAACAAGTTAAAGCTAAACTTGAAACGAAACAGATCGTTAATCATCCTGCTACAGAAAAATCAGCTGAAGTAACGGGAACGCAAACGTGTGAAATATTATAATTCATATATTTGGTACAAATGTTTTCATTTGTTTTTTGTGTGAATGTAGTGAACATTAGAGTGTTTTGTTTGCACTAACAAAGAATATATCACTCCGGATCTTCGCTTGTATGATATTGTTATGTTGGCCCGGTTATTTTCCAAGATATTTGGAAGAAGGCGTGTTTACGGGCTGTTTAGTTCATGCAAGAGCGGGAAATATGGCAGAAGCACTAATTGCTCCTCATCATGTACAAGGCTTTTGCTATTTTTAGTTTAGCAGGGGTGTTTGATGATAGGTGATACTGAATTATAGTGAATCCTTTTCAATCATTCTGCTTTCATATGTCGGGTTTATCAGGATATTCTGTTCTTGTTGACGTGGTTTCTGCTCATCGAATGTTTGTGATTAGATATCTGTATGATGAAGCGATTTTTATTCTTGTAAATTACAGAATATTTTATTTATATAATATAATATTTTATTGTGTTAATGTTATGTTTTTGTGACATTGTCAATGCGTTAGCGTTGTCATCTTGTTTTCTTTTTTTTTCGGCGGTGGAATCAAGTCCGATAACTAAGGGAAAAACTAGTTTTTAGGTTTTCATAAAATGAAGGGAATACTTACTGATGAGCAAGAATCATCACATCCCAGATCTACTTTTTTAAGTATGTCTTCAACTACTTTAAATCTATACAGGTGAATTTTATCGTCAGGCATGTGAATAAACTTTTGATTGTATTTGAGATCTAATATACCAGTGATGTTTTTGATGTATCAGGCAGAGTATGATGTCATAATTCAAGCCATGTATTTGTAATGCGGTGTAGTCGTTTATTAAGTATTTCCGATACTATATAACTTTGCACAGTTAGTACACGATTATTTTCTGAAACTGTAGATGCAGTAATGAATGAATGACTATTGATTGTTAAATCGTTCAAATGGTCTTCTTTGTTGGTTTTAAATCATTTT